CCCACCCCGTCTCTCCACATTAATCATCTTCTGCTTTCAGTGTTTTAAGTGTGAAAGGTCAGCCATCAAAGTATTTGAAAGCAGTTTTTAAACGCCGACCTTGCCCCTACTAAGTCCCTTTTCTAGTTAAACAGATTCATTTCCTTCAGTTGTTCTTTGTGTGTCACTATTTCCAAATGCTTCTTGTAATTTTCTTTTTCTCTGAAACATCACTCAAAAAATCACATTTAAAGTATAACACTTGGTCTGGGGGCTGAGTGGCGCAAGGAGCAAGAATACTACATTACCTTCTTTGTATTGATTTGTAGACTGATTTTTTTTTTTTTTTTGGCTGATTTATCTTAGTGCTTATTCAATTAATCCCACTGGCTAGTAAAATCTTTTGTACTCATTTGTATTTTGGTTAAATCACACTGCTAATATGAAGTAATAGGTTATTGGAACCTAAGAGGATGACATTATTCCTATTAAATGGTATCATGCTTTTTCTTACTTTTGACCCTGTTAATCTGTGATTTTGCTCAGACCTTTATCAGTAGTCACTGATAAAAGGTTGAACAAAACAGGGTTGAGAACTGAGTCATGAATCATTCCACTTTAATGACTATAAATACTATCCATGTGTTGATAATTTCTAAATTTATAGCTCTAGCTGTGCCTGTTTCCAAGCTTCAAATTCATGTGTCCTGCTGACAAATATGACATTTCAAACTTCATGTGTCTTAAAAAACTTAGCTTTTGATTTCTACCCCCAAATCTGACCCTCTGATCATTCTCATCACACAGTTGGTTGAACTCAGAACTTAGGAGTCAGTTTTAATTCCTTCACTTCCCTCATTGTCTTCTTCCCCACAAGGCTGTTAGTTCTACCTCCAAAACTAATGCTTTCTCCTTCTATTTTCACTTCTTCTCCTGGTCTAAGTTTATATCTTACCTGAATCATCTCAATAGGTTCCATGTTTGATTCGGCTTCTACTCTTCTCCCCAAAATTGCTTTCTTCGAACGATCTGTTAATCTATAACTATTGCCAAAAGTCTGTTCATTTAGAACTACAATATAATACAGCAATTCCACTTCTAGGTATTTATCTGAAGGAAACAAAAACACTAACTTGAAAAGATATCCCCGTGTTCACTGAAACATTATTTGCTATAGCCAAGACATGGAAACACAACTTAAGTGCCCATCAAGAGATGAATGGATAAAGATGTAACGTACGTGTGTGTGTGTGTGTGTGTGTGTGTGTGTGTGTGTGTGTGTGTAATATGTATAACATGTATATATAATGGAATATTATTCAGCCATAAAAAAGACCAAAATTCTACCACTTGTGACAACATGAATGGACCTTGAGGCTAGTATGCTAAGTGAAATGAATCAGACAAAGATCTCGCTTAGACATGGAATCTAAAAAAAGAAACCAAACTCATAGATACAGAGAACAGTTGGTAGTTGCCAGAGATAGCAGTAGGGTGGGGTGGGTAGGTGAAATTGGTGAAGGGGGTTAAACTTCCGATTAAAACAAATATGTCCTGGAGATGTAACGTATAGCATGGTGATGATAGTTAATACTGTATTGTGTATTTGAAAGTTGTTAAGAGTAGGTCTTAAAAGTTCTCATCACAAGAAAAAAAGCTTGTAACTATGTCTGATGTTGGATGTTAACTAGACTTATTGTGGGAAAAGAAAAAAGAAACACACAACTTGATGAATATTCTTGTTAAAGTATAATTTATGTATATCAAAGCGACCAAATAATAGATATATAGCTCAGTGAGTTATTAGAAGGAAAAGATGCTCTATAACCTCCACCCAGATCAAGAAATGGAACATCACCAGACCTCAGAAGTCGGTCTTATCCCATGTTCATCACCATCCTCATCTCCTTCACACAAATAACTGTACTTTAACACGACGCATTAGACATGCCTGTTTTAAATTTTACATAAAGGAGATCATATATAATTTTCTTTTGAGTCCAATTTGTTTCATTAAGCATGACTATGAGATACATCCATATTGTATAATGGAGTCGTTCTTTCATTTTCATTTCATCTCATTTCATTACTGTGGTGTTTCACCACAATTTATCCATGCGAACGTAGATGGATATGTGGGTTGTTTCCTGTTAGGGGCTACTGTGAATAATGTTGCTAGGGACATTTCTGAATATGTCTTTTGGTGCAGCTACTGACAAGTTCCTGTTGGTTTTATATCTAGGAGAAGATTCACTGAGTTAAAGGGTAAATGTATGTTCAATTATAGTAGATATTTCCAATTTCATAAAGTCATTATACTAATTTACACTCCCACCAGCACTGAATGAGAATTCCAGTTGCTCCACATCCTCATCATGTACATACACAATTTGATTTGATATGTATGTATGTATGTATGTATTTTAACTTAATTTTTAATTATTATTTTTAAAATTAATTAATTAATGTTTTTATGGTGACTTTGGTTAACGAAATCCAGTAAGTTTCAGCTGTACATTTTCAACTTGATTTTAAATAGCAAAAAACAATTTTAAAAATTAGATAATTCAATAAGAATAGGAGAATATATTAAGGTTGGCAATGTCAAGAGTGAAAGGTGAAAGATCCCTCCTAGAATCAGGAGGTAGATGAAAAGCATAATTGAATATTGGTTTGAGACTAATATTCTTTCCAAGGCACAGGTCACTGGAGAACATCCTCTCACAGAAATACACAGGGGCCGGAACAATCAGCCTAATTAAAATGTCTCTTTGGAGAGTGGGAAATGCATTCTTATTCACTCTACTTGCTTCCTGGGAAGAAATAATATCAAGTGTTAGAAGAGACACCTTGCTTTTACAAATCGTCTTTTGAAATATATTATTATGAGTGAGTAGACTATTTTTCTTGAACATATGGACATAACCAATATCACAATTCTTCATTTATGTATCCGTGACTTCTATATTTCTTTTGTCTTTGCTGTCTTTTCAGTATAATTACTCACCTGGCTTTTATCTTCCCCAGACATATATGTTCCATTTTAGCTTAGCTGCATACACTTTTTAAAAATATATAAATCTGCCGCACACTTACAAATTTTCAATTTAATGTCTAGTGATGGCTGTTGAGAAATACTGATCTAATTTCTTGATGGTTCTGTTTAACTTTCATGGTATAAGGCCAGTGTTAGCATCGCAGGTCCAGACCAAAATATTTCTGAGTGAAAAGAGGCTACTGTTGTTATTACATCAAGACAACCAGCAGAGACAGAGACTGTTCTGAGAAAATTAGGATCTGTTGCCATCAAAGCTTGACAATAATCCTCAGACTATCTTTCCTCACTTCCAGGGCTAAGTAAGGATGGAGGACACTAATCTGGTTGCCTTGAAGGGATGGGAGTTGGTCAGGAAAGGAGGAAAGGAGAAAAGAAGAATCACCCACCCTCAAAAAAGTATGTAGTAGAAAAAACCATGAGTTTAAATTTAAGTTTTCCTGTTCTAAAAATCACTAGCTGTTACTCAACGTTTCTTATCCTTGAGTTCATTGTAAAATAGTAATGACATAAGAATGAAACAAAATACCAGAGAAAGTGTTTAGCTCTGCCATTACCAGAAAAGACACTCAATACATTTTACTCTCCTCAGGGGATCGATGCTTGGAAATAAGAAGGTAACCGAAGGAAGGGGAGATGACCTCATACTGAATAAAGTCTGGTTCTCTTATCCAACTCATAATTCTTAATATTGTATACATCTTTTATATTTTCCTTCACACTTTTTTCCTCAATATTTTTACTACTAAAAAGTATCTTTTTACTTAGGCAGAGCAATTCTTCTTATTATTTTTAAATTAAGTTTATTAAAGTAACATTGGTTAATACAATTATATAATTTTCAGGTGTACATTATAATTTAACATCTGTATAGTCTATTGTGTGTTTAACACCCAAAGTCCAGTTTCCTTCAGCTACCATATATTTGATCCCTTTTATCCATTTTGCCCTCCCCCTACCCTCCTATATTTGACCCCCTTTACCCATCTACCTCCCCCCTCCTCCCTTATCCCCTAACCACTGGTAACCACTAGTCTATAGTCCATGTCCATGAGTCTCTGTTTGTCCTGTTCCTTTGTTGCTTTTAGGTTTATATCTCACATGTAAATGATACCATGTGATTTTCAACTTTTTCTGTCTGGCTTATTTCGTTTAGCATGATTATCTCAACTTCTATCCATGTTGTTACAAATGGCTATATTTCATCTCTTCTTATGGCTGAATAATATTCCATTGTATATATGTACCAAAGCTTCTTTAGCCAATCAACTATTGTAAGACATTTCGGTTGCTTCCATGTCCTGGTGAATAATGCTGCTATGAACATTGGTGTGCAAATATCTTTATAGATATGATTTTTTGTCTTTGGGGTAAATATCCAGTAGAAGGATTGCTGGATCATATGGTAGATCAATTCTTAGTTTTTGAGGAACCTCCATACTGTTTTCCATAGTAGCTGTACCAATTTGCAGTCCCACCAACAGTGCATGAGGGTTCCTTTTTCTCCGTATCCTCTCCAGCATTTATTACTTGCCCTGTTGATTATAGCTATCCTAACAGGTGTGAAATGGTATCTCATTGTGGTTTTGATTTGCACTTCTCTAATAGCTAGTGATGTTGAGCATACTTTCATGTTTGTTGGCCATTTGTATGTCCTTTGGGGAGAAGTGTCTGCTCGGATCTTCTGCCCATTTTTTGATTGGATTGTTTGTTTTTTTGTCGTTATTGAGCCATATGAGTTCTTTATACATTTTGGATATTAGCCCTTATTGGAAGCATTGCTTGCAAATATATTATCCCATTCGGATGGTTGTCTCTTTACCTTGTTGACAGTTTCTTTTGCTGAGCAGAAGCCTTTTAGTTTGATGTAGTCCCATTCATTTATTTTTGCTTTTACTTCTCTTGCCTTTGAGGTCAAATTCATAAAATCCTCTTTAAGTCCAAGGTCCTTGAGTTTCATTTTTATGATTTCTTCTATGCATTTTATTGTTTCAGGTCTTGTATTCAGGTCCTTAATCCATTTTGAGTTAATTTTAGTGTGTGGTGATAGACAACAGTCTAGTTTCATTCTTTTGCAGGTGGCTTTCCAGTTTTTCCCGCATCATTTATTGAAGAGACTTTCCTTTCTCCACTATGTGTTTTTGGCTTTTTTGTCGAAAATTATTTGCCCATATGTATATGAATTTACTTCTGGACTCTCGATTCCATTCCACTGGTCCGGGTGTCTGTTTTGCTGCCAATATCATGCTGTTTTTATTACTGTCGCTTTGTAATATGATTTGAATTCGGGCAGAGTGATGCCTCCAGCCTTGTTCTTTTTTCTCAGGATGGCTTTGGCAATTGGGTTTTTTTTTTTTTTTTTTTTGAGCAATTGTTATTATACCCAAATTAGAGACAAAGAAACTGAGGCTCAGAGAAGTTCATGGATTTGACAAAGTTTCCATGGATATTAAATGTTAGTTGCAGGACATAAACCCAAGTCTCTTGAGTCTTGGTCTAGGACTTTTTCCAATGTGTCAGGTTCTCCCTGACTTTTTCAGGTGAATGGATGGGGAATTAATTAATTCTGGTCCCAGGCTCGAGATAATACACTGATTTAAAAAGAACCTTTTAATAAATTATTTAAGGTGCATTTCCTTGTATGATATGCTTTGCTTTTTATATTTTTTGACACACCCAAGGTGTTGATTATGATTCTAGAAGCTAAAAGATAAAATCAGAATCTTTTCATTATCTGCATGTGTATTACACATTTATGTTTATTCTAAAACAAATGGTCAGTCCTGCAGTTGCTTTTCCCTGAATGCTAGATACACCTCAGATAGTTTTCCTTAAACTTTCTTTTCCATGAAAGCAATTATACTCTGGGAATGCTGGTATTACATCCAAGATGGAATTAATAATTTTAATCTGTGATAAAAAGCACATTATTTCAAAGGCAAATGAAAAGTAAATCATGAGCCAGCTATTGTTTAGGATTATTCTCCAGTGCCTTCTTCAATTGATAGCAGGAGAAATTTATAATTAGTCTTAAAAACTTTGAAGCTTAATAATCAGACTGCTAGTTTTTCAACAATACAGAAGGGGAAACAGGTGGACAATGTTCTGAGTCAATGGAAATAGCTCATGCCTCTCCAAGCGGGTGGGCTGATCCTGAGCACAGTGAGG